TATCATTGTGATAAGTGACTTGGAGTAGGATTTGATTGTAAGGGTTGTGTATCACTCAAAGCTTTGAAGCACGAGTGTTTGTGTCACTTGATTAAAGCTTTGAAGCAAAGTCAAGTTAGGGTTGTGTATCACTCAAAGCTTTGAAGCAAGAGTGTGTGTCACTTGATTAAAGCTTTGAAGCAAAGTCAAGTTAGGGTTGTGTATCACTCAAAGCTTTGAAGCAAGAGTGTTTGTCACTTGATTAAAGCTGTGAAGCAAAATCAAGTGTGTGTACTGAAGAGTATCTTCATAATTTCATTAATCAATAGTTTAGTATCACTGTTGTGATTGGGGGGAGGGTGAGCAGGAACTCAGGTTTAAGTTGATCTTAGATTGAAGTTGCATTGGATAGGTCTTAAGTGAAGGAGATAAACTGGTTGGTTTATTCCTAAATTAATATCTCTTATAGTGCATTTCCTCCCTGGCTTGATAGCCCCCAGAGTAGGTGTTGTTACACACTGAACTGGGTAAACAATTGATTGTGTTCTTTAATGCTTTTAAAATTACTGTCTTGAAGTGTGTCAGATACGGTGTCATAACATTCACTGTGACATTGAGTATCTGCTGCCAGAATTTCAAATCATACATTTTGTTTGTCATTTATAAAATTTAAAATTTTAACGAGACAAGTTCATCAATGATATATATATCTTTATGTATATAGAATATAAAATAATTAAAATATTAAAATTAAAACTTTAACATGGTCAATTCCATCTAAATACGAAATAATATATTACGAATACACGAGTATTTATACCGTACACACATATGGTATTGATATTAACATATTTAATTGAATATTGAATGATAACGAGAATAAATTTACTATTAATTTAAATATTTTTATAAATAATTTCAAAACAAAAATATTTATATATAGGAATTGTTAACTAGTGATTTAAATATTTTTATATGCATAATAGTATATTTTATTTGTAAATTGATTTTAATCAATTATATTAACTACTTTTATTAATTGAACTATATAATTTGATTGAATATAGTGTTTGGTTTGATACATCTCTTTTATATTTGAAATTTAGAGAACTATATTTTCTGATATGAAACTCGATTCACAATCGGTGACAATAGCTTAATGTCGGTTGATCGGAATCTCGTGGAGAAATTTAGTATAATTGACGCCTTGATGCTTTAGTCTGACACCAGGGATAATACTTACAAGTAATTTGGCGTTCAAGTCAGTATCTATTAGAGGTGGGTGGTAATTTTAGGTTTAAAGAGTGTGTACCTGAATCTAAGGTCTTTATGAGTCTTTTAAAGTGAGGTCTTAGAGTTCTCGAGAACCTAAAACCTTCTATTTGTTATGGTTGTTAAGGAATTTTGTAGGTCCTTGTCATCTAACGGTCTACATCGATATTAGTAGGTCTTGATTTGGTGTGTCTCTAGGGAGAGTTCATTTCCTAAACCATTGAACTTATTAGAAATAGGATGACCCGATTCTCTGCATATTGAACCTTTTCCCAATCATTTTTACCTTTGGGGTCTCCTGTCTCTTAGACCGCCTACCTTCTAGGTGGCCTCCTTTTTTGGCTGAAACATCAGAGCTATTTGTCTTCAGGGCCTCCTTATTCTGGGTCGTCTACTTTTCACGTGAGGCGTGCTTTCTAGGTCGTCTATTTCTTTGTATGTATTCCTTTTAAACTAAGTGCTTCCTAGCATGTCTACCTTCTTGGAAGCTTCATTTCGGTCTTTTCTTCCTTATAGGCCTACTGCCTTGTTTATGTTACTCTTTTTTTTTCCCGTGGTATAGTTAGTTTGTTGCATTCTCTTACAATTAGCTACTAGTGGCCATAATGATAATTCTTCTATTTCGGTGTTTAGTTACAACTTTTTCAGTGAATTATTTAAATTATAATGCTTAAGGTGATTATATATTTTTTGTATATATTAAAAGAGTAATTTAATGAAGGATAACTTTGCAAAGAACAAAAATACTAACCATAGAAGGCTTATCAATAACTTCCTTTATGTTATGTTAACTTGGAAACTTCCTCTCAAAATTCCTTTAAGAGGGTAGACTATAATATGCCAAAGCTTGATTCGATTAAAAGTGTGATTAATAACTAAAAATATTTAAACTATATTGTATAAGTGAACCAAACAATTAAGCAATTAAGGACTTTTTCAGAATTGTTAATGAGTCCAGAAAGCGTTAGAAATGTCAATGGTCTAAGCGTTCAGAATTTAAGAAATTTTAACATTACATATCAATCCAAAACATTAAAGAATTAGGGGTATGGTTCATTTCTCTTATATATCTAATATTTCTTCCATTTCTACTTAATATGGAACTTAACCATTCACACTTAAATTCTAACAATCTCACAAGTGTGAGTCACTCACATTATCAGTCTTGATTCACACTAACTTTGATCCATACCACTAGCCTTTATCCACTTCCGCCCACCCCTACGATTCTAACCAAGCTCTAATACCACTTGTTAGGAAGTCTAGAGAGCGTCAAAAGTGTCGATGTACTAAATATTTAGGATCCAAGAGACTTTAGCACTACATATCTATCGAAAACCTTAAAGCATTAGGGATATGGATATTTTATTTTATATATCCAACATTTCTTTCATTTATAGTCAATATGGAACTTAAACACTCACACTTGAAACCCAACAAAAATTAAGTTAAATATAATGGCCATTTTAGTATTTTTCTAAAGGGTGTATAAGGTGAAACTGAAAAAGAAAGCATAATTCAACTGCTACAATGAAAGAAGAGGCAACACAAATGGAAGGATAGGCTATGGTCTTAAGCTACATGAAATTACTAAGTAAAAAATATCATTTTCCAAATTTTGAAAAAATTGAAATAAGCACCTTGCAACCATTATGGAATTGGAAATTACAGCCCTTACAACCGCGGGTTAATAAATAAGTTGGTTGAGATGCTTGATAGCATAGATTTTTCTTTGAAAAAATAGATATTAAATGTGTTGATTCACTATAATAGTACCATAACTTTTACAAAAATTTAAAACTACTGTATTTTTTCTCTAAAGGAGTTGTTAGAGTAGATTGTATCAGCGTTGATAATATACTAGTTGACCATTTAACAAAATGTTTAGTTAATGAGAAAATCAAAAACAAATCTTAAAGAATGGTATTATTGTCATTAGATCAACGAATCACTCTTAATGGTAACTTACCCTAAAATACTAGAGTCTCAAAAATTAAGTTCAATGGGTCATAATAAGTAATGAAGTGGTATGAGATGAACACACTATAAAACTAGTATGGTACGCGTGCATTCGCACAGGTACCGGTTTGACAGTGTCATTGAGTTTAACAAGTTCATTTTGAAAAAAATAATAATTAAATATTATAATATTATCTATAATAAAAGAATAATTTAAATAAAACAATAATTTAATTTATAAAAATTCTATTTTGCATTGTTAGTTTGTGCAATGAGTATAAAATAATAAAATGGAATAGTTTTAATTAAAGAAATAAAATATAAAATTGAAATAGTAACAAAAACATATCATTCTTATTTATACCATTTATACTATTTCAAAGTACAAACACATATAATTTTTAATTAAAATATTTAGCTAGGATATATTCAATTTGCAAACCAAATAATTATATATTTAATATGTTATAAATTGAATAGACAATTAATACTAATTATTTAAAAACGGGTTTTAGACAAAAAAGAAAAGAAAATTTTAATACTATGTATATCGTTTCTATTATAAAATATTGTTGTTAAGTGAATCTTTAAGGTTGAATACAAATGGTATTTTCTCAAAAAATGCCTATCTGCTTAAGATTTATAATAAATAAGTTCAATTGAAAACACATGGTTAATGGCGGAAGATTATATAAGTTTTTAGTTATTCATCATTCCAACACCACATCAGAAAAAAGTTTATACAGTGATACAAAATTTCTCCCTACAGTTATAAGTTCATTATAAGTTCCTATCTTATACCATTTTTGCTTATATTCTTGTTCAATTTTATGTTACAGAAAAAAACTTAATATTTATGATCATTAAGAAAAGTTTGTACAGTGATACAATATTTCTCTCTACAGTTTGATACATAGTTTGTTAAACTGATTGTTAATCGAAATTGATGAATAATTATCTTGGGATAAGAAGATGATTGCAATGTCCACCTTCACAATTTCCAGAACAATCACGATCAAGAAGTAAACATCCCTCTATTTCTTTATAAATTGATGGATCAAGTGGTTGGTTACCAAAATACCATGTATCAACAGATCCATGTTTAATCATCCCTCCATTACATGATTAAACGCATCTTCAATATTCGTAACAATTTCGTTGCATGAAATTTTATATCCATGTTTATAATCTATACTATGTATAAATGTTGATTTATTTCTCAAGTTTCTCACACTTCAATACAACAAAACACATGTATCCGGAAAATTTATTCTCCAAATTGAGTTAGTGTTCTAATTGGATTGGAAATGGGTTAGTGCTATTCAATTCAAACTTAGTATGATAAGGTTGTACGTATTAAAGACGGAGGTAATAACTTATCACTCTGTAGAATGAAACATAAATGCTCCAAGATATTGAATCAAATCAATGCTCTAAGAAATAGATATTATTACAGTGAGAACTACACTAAAAGATATACTTTACTATTTATGATAGCAAATTATCAGTGTGTTACTTATCACTGTAAACACACTAAAAGTAGTAACTTATCACTGTGTTACACTTCTAAAGTTCTACTAACTTATCATTGTCTTCCAATTGATTGACTGCTTGAGATTTCATATGAGCAGCCTGTTGTATACCATGAAAATTTGAGTGATTGCTGATCAATGAGTTAGTCTTAGGTATAAATGGAAATGTTACTGAATTTGTGTTCTAAGTGTTCATCATAGACCTAGAAGATGCCACAGATCCATAAAATTTCCCAGAAGCAAAAGGGTCAACATTATTCAGTCCATATCCATCACCTGATAATAAAATTGTTACCCATTATGACATATGTCAATTTCTAAGGCCAAAAAATATACACATACACCCAGACAGATAGACATACCAACAAATGATATTAATATTAACTAAAAAGGGTGATACAACTAAACTAAGTAAGAAATATTACCCTGCACTACTGGTTTCTGATTATGGTCATAACTTGAGGCATAGCCATCAAAAGTGTCTGGTTCATTAACAAGTTGGACATTGTTACCAATCAAGCCCAACCCACTACTTATAGCACCAGGACACATAAGTGCGTGTTTAGAAAGCACTTTCAAAGATGCGGTTTATTAGCAAATTTGAATATGATGGGATTAAGTCAAGCCAAGAACTATGTGTACAAAGAAAAGATCAAATTGAAAAGTACATGACAATACATAAACATTGTATCAGGAATCTCAGCCTTGAAAAGAGGTATTATATTATGCATAGTTTTTCTCCACTTCGATGACAAAATAATATATAGACTATAAGACACTCAAAATCAGTATATAATCGCAAATGGAAGGTAAGACTGTGTTTTAAATTGCATTCTGCATATGCAATTACAACTGCAATTGTGGTGTGAATCAAAATTAGATAAGCAAACACATCAAATAATTTTGGTCATGCTCTTTCATTTCATCTCACCAAAACCCACAATTATAGATGCAATTGTAGTTTTATTTAAAACTAGATGTGCGACCGCATCAAGAATCACATCAGTAGATTTTAGGCATGTATTTTGGTTCATCTCTCCAAAACCAGCAGTTATAGCTACAATTGTGGTGTCATTTAAAATCAGATATGCAACGAACCACGTCAAGAATCACATCAAATAAGTTTGGGCAGGTTCCTTTGGTTCATCTCACCAAAAATTAAAATATCACAAATCTAAATCTCAGTCTTAATTTAACCATCTCTAAACTATGAATTTCAAGCATCTTCTGATCAATATTCACGCCCCAACAACCACAATAACCGCAATCGCAACACTTGCAATGACAGTGCATGATGCAATACAATAAGTTAATACTAATCAAGAAGGAATGTCTTTCATGTCTACTTAACATTAAAAGAAGCTAAAATAAAGAAAAAAACATCAATACCATGGATCTTGGCATATACGACATCATAGGGACTAATAGCCGTGATTTCTTAAGAGCCATCTCATCAAACTTTTGAGTACATAACAGATAACTGCATATTAAACAAAACATACGACATGATTGATTACTATCGACATTTTACTAAATAAATTTATGAAGTAAAAAATTACATAAAATGAGATGAGCACATACTTGGAAACAAGAAACAATGACTTAGCAGTGTAATCATCCAAGAATTTAGCATAGTTTGGCCCTGGGTCTGGAGGAGGGAGAATTGATTCTCTGAATCCATCACTGCTTCTTGACTGCAACGACCAAGTCTTCTCCCCATATTTGACCATTCATTCATTTATAATAGGAACATTGACATATTTAAGGGGATGAGTGTTCCATGATTGGTAAATAACATAAACTGCAATTGCTAGCTGGTAGAGTAACTACAGCATATGTCGTGGCCATAGTTGGTTGTCCTCAAGGGAGTATGTAGGGAAACCATTTCAACTAAAGTACGGGAAGAAACTCAATTCAGCAGTTCCGGTAAAACTAAATTTGTTTCTATACAAAAAATCTTGACAATATATTTTAGCACCTCATTTCATTCATCATTTACAATCTCATCCAAAAGACACTATTTAAATGATTTTAAAGAAGTCTTTCCATTGCAAATGCTCAAGTCTTTATAAACAAAATTCATACTTAAATCAAGGATACCTAACTGGCTTGATTAGTTAAGTATTACTAAACTTAACATGTATAAAGTATGAGGAAAGAAAGTTGAGCATTTAATTAAAATAAATGTATATATCAGGACAAATGACAATGACAGGATTAAATATCTTTTTAGAAAGTTGCTACTTACTTGCTAGCAACTTGCAAGCTAACAAATAGGCAATTTCTTGAAATAAAACTCATTAGATGACACAAAAGGCTTGATAAGAAGGAAGTCATAGATGACATGAAATATACATAGTCAAGGAAAAATCAAGAAAACTTTAAGGAATATATCAACAAAAAATTTATTAAAGAACTAATCTGCATACAGTAGTCAATTTCTTGAAGGAAAACTCATTAGATGACAAAAAAAAAAGGTTATACATAGTCAAGGAAAAATCAAGATAGTCTTAAGAAAACTATAAAGACTATATCAACAAAAGTTTTATTATAGAACCATTCAGCATACAGTAGATGGATAACAATGTGAACAAACTACATATTTCCCATGAGGCATGGTGATCTTCAATCTCCACCATTGGCTCGACCTGAGGCATGGGAGACATACCTGCAGTAGTGAAGCCAGCAACACAACCTCCGCGTCCATCAAGAGCAGAACAGGTTTCATCTGACACCAAACCTACAGCATCTGATATAGTAGTCGCTCCTTCTGATGCTCATTTTCCTTCACCTCCTAAGATAGTCATAAGCAGCCGCAACAGGATTGATATGCAGAAATGGTAAATACACAATGTGCACGACTATCTTCACATTGTGAATGATGTCAGCCTATATGGTTCTAAGCCTTTGTTCCACATTACATAGAAGACTACTAATAAGATTCTTTTCCTCTGCTGATGGTTTATCTTCTTCTGGATATTTTAAATAATTTCTCCAATTGACTATATGAAAATATGAAGGTAGGAGATACAATATGATGATAAAGATTTAAAAAATCATAGGCAGTAAAAAGGAAGAAGATAGACCCATAATAGAATTTTAATAACTGACACGTGTCATCAAACTATAAATTATAAAATATCAGTACTGGTCAATAGGTTCAAATATATCATGAGCCACATCCTTGATATAACAATATCATAAAAACATGGTAGTAGTAAAATATAATACTCTTCCTAAACCCTTAAAATGATACCAAAATCTTCATGAAGAATATATAAAACAGAACGAAGAATATACCAAAATTGTCTTCACAAACAGTTGCAAGGTGCTCTCTGTGACAGGTTTCAACAACCAGCTCAATGAATTCGCGCGATCGATGAAAAGAGATAACACGATAAGATTTTGTGTCCGAATATAATTTAGCAAGATAAAATGAATTTGTATAATGTTAAAAAGATGTTGCAGTTCACCATTAGTAGCAGCAGCAATAACTTTCTCAGGTGTAGTCGGCTTATTTTCTGCAGAATCTGCGGTGGTAGAAGCAGTTGGTATTATACTCAAATAATACAGCAGCAAAAATGTATAGCATACCACATCAACACAAACAAAATCAAGCTCTTTCATAAAGTTTTCTTTTTGCTTCTCCATCTCCGCAGCAGACTGGAGTGAACGCGAATATATCGAAGCATAATATCACAACAGTCAATATGCTTGAAGAAAGCAACAACTTGATAGATAATTTCAAGATTGACATTATTATAGCCGCAAAAAATAGTTGTTTAGTGAAGGTGTTATAAACATGTAGGAAACGTACCACTCTCTCGAATCATCAGTTTGACGACACCGATATACCAACATCTTCAACACCTGTTGTCGTTGGTGAGGAATATGTTGGAACACTGAGAATTTACATTAAATTGCATTCAGTAAACATCACACGAATTTCATTTCATTTTTATTTTATTTTTCTTAGTATAAGAGAATATGTAACACCTTAAGATCTCGGTGGATTACACAGTTATAATGTAAGTAGTCTACCTCTATCAATAGTTGAGTTAGCCACTTTCAACCTTCTGCACTTCAAATTGGAATTCCATAGTGAGTAATGAATATTCGTAATGAAATGTTAAGGAATTGACGATAAAGCTATTAATTACCTCCTCTAGAAAAAACGATCTGTGAGCTTTCTTAAGGCTCTCGGCCCTGCTCCACAAAGAATGCAAAGTACCATCGTTAGGACTTTGTGTCAATGATAATATATCTCTTTTGTAGTTACACTTTTATCGTTTACGGAACACAAGAGGCATGGGACGCTGAGCAACTACAAGGAAACAATTATTAACTTTGATAGACAAATCAAGCCACTGAGACAACATTTTATAGAGCAATAATTTCTAACAGTAAATTATATATCAAATCAGTACCTCAAAATACATTAATTGAAAATAGAACATCAAAAAAGAAGTTGTTATAAGATGTTATAAGCTATCAACAATCTATAATAGAATTTGTCAAACAAAATAAAATTATGAAAACAACGTTGCGACTATGTAAGATCAAAACATCAGTTACCAAATTATTTTACCATAATCTTTATACTGGAAACAGAATGGAAACACTACTTCCAAAACAGGAACTCTGCACACAACAGAATGGAAACACTATTTGGTGGAAGTAATTGTCGATACATGTTGCGTTTCCATGCAGCCCCAAGTTTCCCACAACTTCAACTACAAAAAAAACATCAAATACATCAGTTAAAAGTGAATCTGTTATAATAACTAATTGGAGTTCAATTAATCATCATTTACACTGACCCTAGCACACTAAAGCATCCACATATCAAAAAAAACTTCACTATATGTAAACAAATTTAATTAGCTTTTTCATTGCGAATACATGATTGGTAGTCTTCTCTCTACAGACTCTAACCTGCAACAAATTCAAATTTTAGGAAGAGCCAAATTGTTTCTGACAAAGACATATAAAGGAAAATACAAAAAAAAATTAGTTGGGAAGTTCTGGCAGCTTTACACACAAAAATATAAGAATAAACATGTGGTTCAAGAAAAAAGTGGATGTTTCAATAAAAAACAATCTACAGACTGTTCAGGACCGCTGAGATATATGTATTTGGAGTTTTTGTAAGAAAGAGAATGGAGAAATAAACACTTTTCTTTGTAATAATTTCTGACTGTCTATCATTCGCGATGGCCAGTTTTGGTTCGGGAAGCCATGCCAGGCTTATCGTGTTTGGTTAGTTGGGAAATGGGAACGATGTTAGGGTTAACACGTTGTTGCAACCGCATATCTACCATAAAGAAATGGAACACCGCAGATCTAGGTTTTAAAAAATTAAATCAAATTCAACAATATGTATAAGGTTGCAAAAGCATCAGAGTACCTTGTGATCACCTCGAAGTCGGTATTAAAGACATCAAGCTTGCAAACAAAGCATGGATTTTCCTCGGACAAATCTACACCGTCTTCGACCTCTCTCTGGGCAACTCCGGGTTTTGCAACATAGTAGTTTCTTAATATTGTCCACATCCTTGAAAATGGATCATAACCCGTGTCCCCTTCTTTCAAACCAGTTTTTGTTGGCCTTAATTCAGAAGCATTCTTGAAGTTATCAACCCTGTTTTTTCTGTTCATTTCATCCAGTTTCAGAGCTTTGGCGTCCTTCACCCACTGTTTGTATTCCTCTTCAAGTGGAGCAGAGTCGCTTACCTTCCGTTTCCGTTTTATGGGAGAGGAAGAAACGGTGGTGGAAGTAATGGTTTTAGGGGTTAGGGTTTGGAATAAACAGGGATAGTTGGTGGATGGAGAAACAGTGTGGCGGTTGTAGGAACGATTTAGAACACACACAAAATAGGAATAGGAAGAGAGAGGTAGATGAGATGACTGAAAAACATAACCGCTATAGAGAGGTAGTGGAATGAGGAGAAAAACGTAACCACTGTCAGTGATGACTCAATGGAACAAAATGTAAACGAAAATTAAGATTTGAAATAAACTATTTTTTGTTTTCTAATGAAGCCACGTGGTGTGTTTTTGGAATAAAAGGATAAAATAGACTTTTACGGTAGAATGAGTTTTCTTATATTATAGATTAAAGAATAACTCTTGAAGCGATGAGATGTTTAGTTAATAGAAAATATAAATGATATTAATACTCCATGTGGAGTGGAGTATCTAAATATAAAAGTATTATTGATATACTCATTTATGTGAATGTGGAAGTGGGGCCGTTTCCTAAGAAATTTTAGAAAATATTTCTAAAGTGTTCCCCAAACATGGATAAATGTATGCATGATCAGTATATCAAAGATGTTTTGAGAATACACCCTAAGAAAGAGTTTTATGTTGATGTCAGAGATATAGTCCAAGACAATGATCACTCTTGTTAAATCTAAATATTACTTGTATGCTAAGTTTCATGTTTGTCGACACTTTTATTTATGTGCTACTTTATAGTAATGTTTGAAGATATTTCTGAAATATTTTTTCAAATTCAAGTGATAGATTTTGGAACATTTGAAAACCATGTGTTTAATATAAGTGTGGGGTATGAAAAAAATTTCTTCAAGTCTCACATTGTAGAACTTTCACATGTTTCAAGTGTGTATATATTAGAGGTAGAGGTGGAAAACGGGCATGTCCGCCCCGTTTAGACTCGTCCTGCAAAAACTTGCAAAAAAATAGGATGAGCGTGGCGAGTATAGTTAAGGGTGCATGCCTAAAACCTAGGCTCGCCTTGCAAAAAAGCGAGGGTGAGGCAGGACATGGCAGAATCGTAGGCACTACACCTTTTAAATCTAAAAATGCAAAAATTTACGTTAATACTCACGTCTGTAAAAATTTGTTAAAAAATTGAACCAGACAGAACAGACACATTAAAGGGTGTGTACCTAAACGCTTAGCATGTCCTGCACTAAAGTGCGAACAAAAAGATCAATACTCAACAAGGCATACACATTTTATCACCCCTAATTAAGCGTAGTCTCCTTAGGATGCGCCCTAGAGGATATAATGCTAACAAAGGGAGTAATATCAATAATCAACCCTATATGTGTAACCTTAATTTTTCTATCGACTAAATTTGGGCTTGGCTTGACCTTGATTTGGTGTTAATATTATTTTTTGGCTCTAAAAAAAATTAAAAAGAAAAAAAAAATAAGTTTTGAAAAAGACACGTTCTCCTCTTAAGACACGTCTGTTTTTCATTTTGCACACACTTATGACCAATTAGCACAAGTCAATGAATGATGTACAATCGATTTGAACAAGCCCACACTTCTCTTTTTTTATCCCACAAGTTAAATGATTTGTAGGGGTGTGCATGGATCCATAACCAAACCAAATTGAACCATATATTTGATTTGGTTTGGATCTTAAAACTACTTCATTAAAACCAGTTTATATTTCTAAAACTGGTTTACATGTGGATCGGTTCGGTTTTGAACTGGTTTCTCATAAAAACCAGTTTTAAAAAAAAAACAAATTTTCTAAAAACCAGTTTATAATTTAAAAAAAAAATCAATTTCGAAGCAGTTTTATAAAAAACCAGTTTCAAAATCAATTTTATAAAAAAAATCAGTTTTAAAACCAATTTAAAAAAATAAAGTTTTATATCAAAAATAGTTTTTTTATTTTTAAAAGTTCTAAAATTATTTTATGTTAAAAAGACTAATTTAAAACATATGATATGTGATTTTACCTTAAGATATAGTAAAGTAATTTCTCAAAAATTATGGTAGCATAGCCAAAATTCATTATTTGACAAGTGAAATAGTTGGTGAATTCTTTGACATAATATTTGTTGATTATATAGTAGGGGTGTGCATGGTTACCATATATTGTGATCCAATCCACTTTTATGGTTATGGTTTACAAATCAAACCATTAATCACAAAAACTGATTTAAAAAACATAATTGGTTTCAAACCGGATTAAAACTGGTTTGAAACCAGTTTTAATTTTAATCCAAATTATTTAAATATAATTTAATCTATATTCAATTTATTTAAATTAATAAAATTTTAAAATTAATTCAGTACTAATTTTTTTAAACATTAATAAAACACATTCTTAATTTAATTTTAAGCAGATTTTAAAAAATTGTCGCGGTCGTATTACAATTTTTGCAATTTCGGTCGATAGAGGTGTTACGACATTGATTGTGTTCGTCGCAGTGTAAATTATTAATTATAATTTGTTTTTTAATATAAAACGGATATAACAGTATCGATATCGACATATGTTCAAAACATTTTGTCGCAGTCGTTCTCACGGTCACAAAGCATTTTTTAAAACCTTTTTATGTTTAAATGATCATTTTTGTTTTATCAATCCTAAAAGAAAAATCAATTAATACTGAGATAGTATTAATTAATTCACTATGCACATTCGTTTTCTTATATAAAGTATATGTATAGTGAATGAAAAGAGATCAAGTATTGTTGGAAATCCACCAATACTCTATGATGAATTTCGACCACCACTGATGATTAGTTATGACAAACAAATAAAAGAACAATGGAGATATTTCTGCAGAATTTCTATTCTGCCCACAAACTGTAGAATCTTTATTAATTCACTTTGCAACTGCAAAATACTGTGAATGAGTTCAATGACTTGAATACAAAATAAGGGTTACTCCCTCTTATTTATAGATTTAGGTTAGCTTGCTCCCTAAGCTAAACCCAAGCCCAAAATATCTCTTTACTAAATCAAATCTAATCTAGATTTAAATTCAAATCTATTTAAATCTAAACAAATCAAATCTTCTTTTGACACCTATGAATTACAATTTAACACACCACCTAATTCATTGTGTCTAAACTGTCTATGTTCATCATGGCCCTTAGCTTTCTGAATACTTCGACTTGCACTCCCTTCGTCATGATGTCTGCAATCTGATTCTCAGTTCTGCAGTGTTCCAAATTCATCTTCCCATCTGCTACCTGCTCTCGAAGATAATGGAACCTCATTTCGATGTGCTTACTTCGACCATGTGCTATTGGGTTCTTCGCCAGATTGATAGCTGACATGCTGTCTATCTTCATGGTAATTGCTCCATGATTTTTTCCTGTTATCTCTTCGACCAAGTTCACCATCCATGTTGCTTGGCATGCACAAAGAGAAGCAGCTATGTATTCTGCTTCGCATGATGATAATGCTACTACTGGTTCTTTTCTCGAACTCCAAGCAATTGTTGCACCACCTAGCATAAACACATATCCTGCTGTTGACTTTTGATCTTCAGCATCACTACACCAACTCGAATCAGTGTATCCCACTAACTTGCATTCTTTTCCTTTATCAACTGCAGGAAACAAAATGCCATAATCGAAAGTTCCTTTGAGATACCTTAGTATCCTCTTTACAGCTGCTAGATGTGATACCTTTGGCTTCTGCATGAATCTACTTACCATACCTACACTGTATGCTAAGTCAGGCCTTGTATGACAAAGGTATCTCAATGATCCAATAAGTCTTCTGTATTGGGTTGGATCAACATCATCTTCATCTGCATCTTTCGACAGTTGCAGTCTTGGTTCTGCAGGTGTCGAAGTTGCGTTGCATTCTTCCATCTCAAACCTCTTGAGAATTTCTCCTGAATATCTTCTTTGGTGCATAATCAAACCTCTACTGCTCTTGTAGAATTCGATACCAAGGAAATATGAAATCTCACCCAAATCAGACATTTCGAATTCCTTGCTAAGATCAACTTTGAAGTCTTCGATCTCACTCTTGCAGCTACCTGTTATCAACAAATCATCTACATAGAGACATAGTATAAGCAATTTACTCTTGCTTCTTCTTACATATACTCCATGTTCAGTTATGCACTTCTCAAATTCCTTCTCCCTTAGAAAACTATCAATTTTCTTATTCCAAGCCCTTGGAGCTTGTTTCAAACCATGCAGGGCTTTATGTAGCCTGTACACCTTTCTTTCTTCGTCATGTTTCACAAACTCAACTGGTTGTTTAACATAGACTTCTTCATCTAAGGGTCCATTTAGGAATTCACACTTCACGTCCATCTGACATATGTGCCAACTGTTGATTTCTGCTAGACCAACAACCAACTTGATTGTTTCGATCATAGCCACAGGTGCAAAAACTTCGTCGAAGTCTATTCCTTCTTTCTGTAGAAATCCTTTCGCCACAAGTCTTGCTTTGTGTCGAGTTACTTCACCTTTCGAATTCGTCTTCACTTTGTATACCCACTTGACATCAATTGCCTTCTTGCCTTGAGGCAATTCAACAAGTGACCAAGTGTTGTTGTCTTCGATAGACTTTACTTCTTCGTTCATTGCTTTCACCCACTTCGAATCCTTTAATGCTTCAGCTGCATTAACAGGTTCGACATCTGCATAGAAAGCATAATGTACCAGCTCACCTTCATCATCTATTACATCATCTGATGTAATCACACAATCTTGCAATCTTGCAGGCATGCGTCTTGTTCTTTGAGGTCTGCTTGTACTGGGTATATCTGCTGGCTCCTCTTGTCGAACTTCTCTTTCGACTTGAGTTTCTGGCTCTTCGAATAAGATTCCCACTGAATCTTTCTTGACATTTGCAGTCCAATCCCATTCTTTGAACTCATCTATGATCACGTCCCTGCTGATCACAATCTTCTTGTTCTCTGGATCGAACAACTTGTAGCCTCCTGTCGAATGATATCCAACTAGGATCATTTGACTTGACTTGTCATCAAGTTTCTTTCTCAACTGATCTGGCACATGTCTATGTGCAATAGATCCAAATACTTTCAGATGACTTAAGCTAGGCTTCACACCAGACCAACATTCTTCTGGAGTAATTCCTTCTAGCTTCTTTGTAGGACTTCTGTTCAAAATGTATGTTGCAGTCGAAACAGCTTCACCCCAGAACTCTTTGGGTAAATTCTTGCCTTTCAACATACTTCTCACCATGTTCATGATGGTTCGATTTTTCCTTTCTGCAATTCCATTTTGCTGTGGAGTATAGGGTGGCACCACATCATGCACAATCCCTTCTTTTTCACATAATCTGTCGAAATCTTTCGACACATATTCTCCTCCACCATCAGTTCTCAAAACTTTGAGCTTTCGACCACTTTGTCTTTCGACCATGGACTTGAGCTTGATAAATACTTCGAACACTTCACTTTTCTTCTTGATCAGGTAAGTCCATAGCTTTCGACTGAAATCATCTATGAATGTAACAAAGTATTTGTTACCTCCCATCGAATCCACCTGGATTGGTCCACATACATCAGAGTATATGACTTCGAGATTAGCCTTCGATCTACTTCCTGCATCCTTGCTGAAGCTGTTCTTGTGTTGCTTCGCTTGCACACATTCTTCACATACTTCGTTTGGAATGTAAATTTCAGGCAATCCTAAAACCATATTTCTTCTCCTCAAATCTATGATGTCTCTGAAGTTGAGATGACCTAGTCTATAATGCCATATCCATTCATCTCTGCTAGCTGCAGTCGAAAGGCACTTGTGCTCCATCACATTTAGTTCAATCTTGAAGGTTCGATTCTGAGACATAGGAGCCTTCAAGATTACTCTCCCATTTGCATCAACAACTCTCATCAACTTATCTTCGATTGATACTTTATAATTCCTTTCGACCAACTACCCTATACTGAGCAAATTGCTCTTCATGCCTGGTATGTACAATACATTCGAAATTACTGACTTCTTGCCATCTTTCCTCATGATCATAACATCACCAATACCTTCAGCTTCTAGGGTGTTGTCATTCGCAAATTTTACCAAATTTTTCGTTGAGGGTTTTATGTTGACGAACCAGTCTTTCCTTCCAGACATATGTGATGAACATCCTGAATCCAAGTACCATTGGTCCTTGAATCTGTCTTCATCTCTTGTTGTGACCATCAGCATCATCTCTTCTTCTTCTTCATGTTTTGCCAGCTTTGCATCACTTTCTTGATTCTTTCGTTTTTCTGGACAATCACTCGAATAGTGACCATACTTCTGACAATTATAACATTGAATGTGACTCTTATCAGGTTTTCGACCACCACCTCTTCCTCTGTTTGCAGCACCACCTCTTTGGTTGCCTTGGTGTGGTCTTCTTTGATTCGACACGTCTCCTTCGATTTGGTTTCCTCTACCATTCGATTTGTTGTAGCCACCTCTACTTCTGTCGAAATACTTTCCTTTGCCTTTGGTTTCTTTTGCTGAGTGTGCCTGCAAGGCTACATCACTCTTCGATTTTCCTGCAGCTCTTTCGTTCATTCTTTGTTCATGAGATTCGAGCGTCCCTTGAAGATCTTCCTTTGTCAATTTCGACAAGTCTTTCCCTTCTTCTATCGCCACCACTATGTGGTCGAACTTAGGGGCTAAGGATCTCAGGATCTTCGAAACAACAGCTCTTGTTGTTAATGTTTCTCCACATGTCTTGATTTGATTCACTAGTTTTGTAACTCTAGTGAAGAAATCATATATGTTTTCACTGTCTTCCATCTGAAGCAGTTCATAGGTTCTTTTGTGAGTTTGTAACCTCACTTCTTTCACCTTCTCAGCGCCTCCAAAAGATTTCTCCAAGATCTCCCAAGCTTCTTTTGCAGATTCTGAATCACTAATCTTCTCGAAATTGTCTGGGCTGACACATTGATGAATTATAAACAATGCTTTATAACTCTGTTTCTCAGATTCAGTATATTTCTTCTTTTCTTCTTCTGAAGCGTTTTCGCCAAGCGCTTCGACTCCATCTTTTACAAGGTCCCAAAGGCCTTGACACCTTAA